ATTTTCAAATAACTACAAAAAATTTAAGCAATCGCGCGTCCTAGTGTAGATATCCCCGTTTTTTTCCATCGGGTTTCCCTATATTGCAAAAAAAAAAAATAAATAAAACAAAAAATATCTAAACAAATAAAAAAAACCGAAAAGCTACAAGAAAACCCCCACGAAGTTTTCTATTAGAGCAAGTCAACTCTGATCGAAAAGTCGTATTTATTAGAGAATAGGTACTTTAAAATCAAAAATGAGAAAAAAACTTGTCGTAGAAAAGCGATTGTTTTACCGTATATATGAACCGGACAATATTAGAATACTCTTTAGGGTAGGTACCATTATAATAAAAGTACACAGGGGGGAAAAATCGAAACATTAAGAGGCGGAAATAAAAGAAACACACACTATAATACAGTACAAAGCACGTAAAACCTCTCGGCACGTATGTCGTGAAGTTTTTTTTTTTTTGAAAACACACGCGAGATTCGAATAACGTTTGAAGTGAACCCATGGTATAATGGTATATATATATATATATATATACATACAGAGTGATTCTTTTATCATGATCCACTACCGTTATTATGATTTATTACGCGTTCCTATATTTATACTACCTCTGTCTAAATACACGCTCATAAACGGTATTTCCAATAATATTAGTCTTGTGTGGTGGAAGGGAGAGGGGTTCCGCTTGAGAATCAAAAGTTAATATAATATCTACTCGTTTATACGGTGTATATAAGAGTCAGAAGTATAGCCAAAAAGGGGACTAAGGGGGCTAAATCACCGACATGGGCCACGTTCATATACATTGTATACTGTTTTACGATTCGATTGTTAACTACGTTGAACCGTAAGTATATGAAAAAGAACAAAAGAACACTATGTCAGAAAGTAGACTAAAAAGATCATGGGCTAATTATATATATATATATAAAACGGCACGGATGAAAATGATAAAATGTCTGCCTTTGCTCGAAATTCTCCTAGGTTGATTCATCTGTCAGAGGGATGTAATAAATATTATATATTACAAGACATATAGATAGGTATAAAGTATATTACAGGATATCCCGTACATTAAATATAAAAATATAATATTGTCACTTCATCGCCTGTTTTTTTTTTTTTTTATCAGATTTTATTTTAAACTATAACATAGATATGAATATTGATGAAAACACTTGTCTACGTTTTCGGGAAACAGGCCGAACCCCTGAAATTTCCCTTAACCTACGTCCACAATTCGAGCAAACACGTATTTAGCCACCCTCAATCCAAAATGACTACGCCGTCGATTTGAACAGTAAGGATAAAAAAAAAGAAAACATTAATCAAATTTATTGTATTAAATTCCTGCGAGAAAATCGCCGGAGTGAAAAGAACCACTCTGTATGCAGTAATATAATGTCGCGGTACGTGTGCGACGACGACAACGGAGACGGTAAGAGTTTTTGACATCTGCTCACGACCGACATCCTCTTATCGTCGTAACCGTATCGCGTGCATGGGTTTATGGGTATGCCTATACCTGGTGTATAATATCATTTATTATCATTATTATTATAATATTTGTGTACGTTTCAAACACACAAAAAAGTCACCGGGTGCGTAACCAACGTGCGGCCGCGGCGGACACCATCCCCTCGCGCGGAGGTGAAACGCGTTTCGTTTTTATTATTATTATTATGCGGGTGACGCCGAAGCCACGGAGATTTTTCGAAAAAAAAAAATAATAATAATAATAATAATAAAAAAAACCAGAATCACGCGCACGGGTTTTTTTTATACATACATATATAAATATATATAGGGTCAATCAAGGTCATCGGAACAATCGCCCATGTACATTATCATAATATATATTGTTATATTATTATATACGTATGGGTACAGGTACGCGTACCTGCGTATGCATACGTGCGGTTATTGTTCTGGATGTCGCAGGGCGCAACCGGTTTTTTTTAAGGACAATCCGTTTTCGTATTCGTACTGTACGCGGACGGTGTATTTATTTGTTTTGTTTTTTTCCAATTCGTACGGGGTAGTGATTATGTTATCGCGATTGTCTGTGATATTATGTATGGGTATACCATAATCCGAAGATTTCGAGAAAAAATTAAAATTTTTTTTTTTCCGAACGTTATATTCGTTGTACGCGTGTATAGACTCTTTCGATCTAAAACTTGTGAATTGTCGAATAAAAACCACGAGTTCAGATAAAGCGCGGGAATGGAGGGAAAATCGAAAACGAAATCTCGACGGTCAAACGAGCGAAATAAAAGAAAAATGGGTTGGCATCCAATTCGTTCTCGGGATTTTTTCACACTGGGGATTTTTATTTCGATTGTCTATACCCGTAAACCCATATCCACAAACACGGTTGATTTTCAAATGGCGATTTATCATAACTGCGCTATTCATACGTGAGCAATGTGCAATACCATACGTCGAAGTATATACAAGAAATTATTATCTTTGCGATAACGAGTTAAAAAAAAAAAAAAACGCGGGACAATACTTTAAAAATCCACGGCGTTTACGGTGTACGTACGGGTAAAATTTTGGAAATACCGCCGCACTATAAAATCATTAAACGATGTATACTTCTCATTCACACGAAAGGCTGTGCCTTGTCCGCAGCAAATCCGGATTCCCGCCCTTCTTTGGTAATCAAAGCCTCTCTCCACGCATCGGCATACAAGATGCAATGGACTATTCTGCATCATTTCCTTGATAAATATCTTCCTAATTAAACTATATTTAACTAATTTAGAGCCCTGCACAGACCGGGTCTGATCCGAAGTCGGATTGAAATGGTTCGGACATAACCACTTTCCCGGATAGGATCAGTTCGGACTCATAAAATAATTCAAATTCGGGTCGGATCGAATTCGGGCCACCCCTAGAATTCTGCACTGATCGGGCCGGCCCGGCTCGACTCGAGTTTTGGTCCTATCCTGACACGACCGTTCTCGTCCGAAAAATAATAGTGCCAAATTACGGAATTATCTGATTATTTTAATTTTGTGTTTTTTACGTAATTTTTATTTGATAGATACACTGCGAATACAACTGTTAGGACTAAACATAAATGCTTGCAAATTTGACAAGAGGTTTATTTTAAGTCGCACTTAGTGGCCGAAAAAAAGAAATTGAGTATAATGTATTATTATTATTTTAAAAGGGTAATAACACGAAATATTTCGACTTTTTAAAACGTGTACAACCGAACTTCTCCCCGAATCGTCTTTCGTTAGCAATGGTTTATCGTTGGTTACAATAGTATAAATTAAACAAATTTATGTATCCCATCTTCCCGACTACACGCCTACAACAGTGGCCGCACCCGTCACCGATATCTATTTTGTTTTGACGTTAGAACAAATTTTTTGGGGCGTGCGAGTTGTAAAACAAAACAAAAAAAAAGCAGATAATAATAATAATAGAACAACGTCCCCCGTACAAGAACCGCCCTGAAATGAAATATTATTATGTAGATAACCGTCGCGGTAAAATGATCGCCGTGTATAATATCATTATAAAACCACCTGCACTCGGATGCGCTGCACTCGGCGGACAACACCTCCGGAGGCCGTGAAGGTTTGTATTAATCGCGATTCCCCTGGAAACGCGTGCGACACAATCGCATAATATTATGCCGCGCGTATAATTATTGTATACGCGAGTGAGTATGGAATAGAAAAAAAAAAAAGTAGAAAAACCCGTAAAGAACGCGTGCGGTTTGCGCGCCGCTAAAAGCTGCGACCGACTGCACCCACCACCCCCGGTAGTCGTGACCGGTCGCGGCGTGGCGCCACGGACCAGGTAAACGGTCACCGCCGCCGCCGCCGCCGTCGGGTAGGTATACGGTCGTCGTGGTCGTGGTCGTCGTCGTCGTCGTCGTCGCCCGCTGTCGAATCCGTGGCGCCGGACAGCGGCGCGACCTCCTCCGTGGCCCGTCGGTATTGTTTCGCGCGCCCACCGTCGCCGAGGTGCCGCGACCGTTTTACGACGACGACGGCCCGTCCGTAGGAGCACGAAACGATAATAATAATATAATCATATTTTGTATTTTTTTTTCCTCTCGTATTCTTCGAGAGAAAACGTCCTCCTACGCGTGTACGCGTCGTAATATACAGTGGCCGTGTTATTTTTTTTCCCCGTGAAGACTACCCGGCCCTGGCGGGGGGGGGGCGAGGGTTATACGCACACCCTAAAACGCGTTGTGCACAATGCGGCCGCAACAGCCACGTTGTAATATATTATAACAACCGACGCCGGTCGTCCCACCGCCGCCGCTGCTCGCAAACACCGGAAACCGCCGGCCGGCACCATACGCGCGCATAATATTATTAGAAAATCCCGTGCGCGAAGACTTATGACCGCGATGGCTGTGTAAATGGATTGGTTACGCTTTTAGTCTCGTGAAATTAAATATCCCGCGAGCGATTAAGAATACGCCCGGTGTCTAATGTTACGACGACGAATGACGTTTTGCCATATTATTATTATTATTATTAGTGACCGCGCAGCGCGATATTCGTGTTATTAGCGGTTTCTTGGCGGTTTCTTCGCTTTGCGGTCTATTTTTTTCCCCTGCCAGAAATGCCGTGCCCGACAACAAACATTTCAAACGGATTTTCGTGCAACACGTTTTCGATTCGGTCGGTCCGTTGAGAGGTCGTTTTCTTCGCGCTTTTCCCTAAAAAGCCCGGGAAAAACTGGCGATTTACAGTGGTGAAAATTTGTGTCGATTTCTCGGTCAATTTAGCTGAACAAAAGAATAACGGCAATCCGCTCAGAATCGTATTTCGTTAAAAACGGTATATCGTTGCGCACGAGAAAATCGCTCTAAAATATATCCTCGTTTCCAGCGTCTCTCCTAAAACAGTGGCACACCCGTCAGCTGCAATATCGGTTTTTTTTGTTTACCTATTTACGACTCGAATACAACACGCCAACAGTACGTTTGTTCGCGAAAGCAAAACAAAAAAAAAAAAAAAACAAACAAACAAACAAAGAAAATAATATGTTAACGCGATAGGAGAAAGCAGACTTTATACCGACACACGTTGGCGGTTCGAGTCTTATAAGGAACTGAGGGTGCGATTGTTTCCGTAAACAATCGGCGCGTAGGAACGCGGAAAAATTATACGGACCGGCACAGAGTCCAGGCTGTCGCGAGTGTTTTGAGACTCCTACTCAATTGATTTGAGTCGCCTGTTCTATACACGTTACGTTCGACGGATCCACTCGATCGCTTTTGTATTTGCGCGATACACTGTACGCGGATACGCGGTAAGTCGAGTTAGGCCAGGTTAGGACAGCGTATAGGCAGAGTAAGGCACGGTATAGCTGACGGGTGCACTCGCTCATATTTGTACGGAAATAACGCGAAGAGGAAGAAGACGCCGATAAAGTCGCGGGTATAGTAAATAATTGTCATCAATATTGCGGTTACGGCCGGACGTTTACCGGGACGCGGGCTTAAACTCGGTCCGGTCGAAATCCCATTTCGCCGAATGGATTTCAAAACGAGATATTACCGCGCACGATAATCGCTTACAATTATAACAGAACATTGAATCGGACTCACCTGCGGACGGTCGTGCGCGCGTTACCGGCGAGCGTACATCCTGACGACGCACGGCGATGATTATTTATCAAGCGGTAAAATGCACTTGTTGTCCAATAATAATTGTTCGAAGACCGCGACGAGAAAACGGAAACCGCGCACGCCGGACGATAGCCTCAATACTATAATATTGCAAAACAATAATAACGGGCGACGAAAATGTCCTGCGTGCGGCGGCGCGACGGGAACGCGTAAAAACACACAGCCGATCGTATTATAATTTACGCGGAACGGATTACCTCCTCTGGCAAGCGTGCGGCGCGGACGTCGGGACGAGACTGTGCAAGCACGGCACGTTTACGGCGTCGCGTTGTCGGAGACTCGGCCGCCGTGTACGCAACGTGCACGGCGGCCGCGTTGTGAACGCGCACGCGCACGCGCTCACAACGCGTACGGCCGCGCGCGTACAATAATAATAATAATAATAATAATAATAATAATAATAATAATAATAATATAATAGTACTGTATAGTAATAATACTATATAGTAGTAGTACTACTACGACGAGTACTATGGTAGTAAACACCTGCGACCGCTCCCCTGCGACAACGCGGCGGCGGCGGTTCCCCGCGCTCAGAGGTTACAGCCGCCGCGCGCTCGACGCACCCCGTCGCCCGTCCGGTCGTCGAAATCTCTGGAACCGGTCTAGGGGACGCGCCGCCGCCGCCGCCGCCACGGCCGCGGACGACTCGCGACGGTCCGATCTCCGCGTACTGCGATTAAAATCGCATTATCCGACCGTGCGTACCACCGTCTCTCCCGTACCGTCGGGTCGCCGTCAAATAGATAATAATATTATTATTATTATTATTATTATGTTTAATAGTTATGATAATAATAATAATAATAGGTACGACGTTTTCCTAAATACACGCGCGGCGAGTTCGTGCGCTCCGCCGGAGATTGGGCGCGTATTCGAGAGCCGCGCGGTAAAAACGATAAACGGGAGTCCCGAGACCGACCGCGTCCGTCCGTATAATTACCCGCGCACACGAATCCGGTGGCTCCGGAGGTAATATTATTATTATTATTATTCGTGTAACGTGTTAATCGTCACCGCGGTCAGGTCGGCCAATGCCGCCGCGCGATTTCAAACGCGCGCGTAAAAAAACCGAATCCGGACAGCAACCGCGGTAACATTGTTACCCCCCCCCCCCAAGTAACAAATAAACGATCAGACATCGTGTTGATTTCGGATACGTTTTCACCCGTTAACGAAAACTTTTTTAACCGGCCCGCGCCCCCCTACACCCCCAAATGATGTTTGCTAGTGCGTAACTTAAAAAACCCGGCCGCCCATTTCTTAACCCTTGTTTATTTCCCACAGACCTACACGCCTGACAGCACGGTATAGTTTTACACAATCGGCGGCATTAAAACACAATACAGTTATACAAAAATCGACTGTGCGGCGGGGCCGTCATTAAGATTTCACAGGCCCAGGACCAGTTTATGATGAAGGATAAAAATTGCCTATTTAAAAAGACACATTAAAAGTGTCCACTTATTTTTTTATTGCGTATATTTATCATTTAAATATATTTAATTTTCATTAAATATTTTTAATACAATTTTTTTTTTCGAACGCGAGGCCCCGCCCCCTCCTCTTAGCACGGTTCTGCTGTGTAGTCCCAATCTAAGATTTTACTTTTGCGATTTTTCACATTTCGACTCTTAGTACAAGAACTCTAAAAGTGTGGGATCTGATTGGGCTGAATTTATTAGACGCATCGCTCTTTCTGCATCGGGTCGTTAAGTAGACAGTTAGTTACTGATAACGAATGTGTTTCTACTCCGGGACCCAATCCTAGGTACACGAAATGTAACCCTATTTAGTAAGCAGGTATCATCGATCTTATCCAGTACTAAATTATTAATATACATTTGGTCGGGTATTTTTCTTTTGGTATCAAGAGTGAGCTGGGTTTTACAGTAGAAGTATTATTATATGATTATCGACTTTCTACATACGTATGTAACTTAATCTTAAACTGCACACGCCTTCAGCCGAATGGTATACTTTCGTTAAATCGCTGGAATCAGACGCGCGTTTCACGTACGTAGGGATCGATTGCCGAACACCCGGGTCTGTACACGTCGGATAGGGGAAACGGTTAATAATTGTCCTGTGGGAAGAGAAAAGCGATTGCGGATGTACGGATCGAGAACCCGCGGCACAAAACCTAATCTGCGTAAACCGAAAAATTCGCCAAAAAAAAAAAAAAAATTGTCTGTCGAAATTCAATATCAATACATTGTTATTGTACCGGCGAAAGAAGAATCTTTATGATATTACGCTCGCGAATCGTTACGACCTATGGCCCGAGTCGCGTTATTACCACGTCGTTATACCTAATTACCGGATGTACCGTATTATACACGGCATCGCATTGGAAGGCGTCCGTAGTCGCGTGGACGTGCGGTCAAACAAGGAAAACAGTCGCTTACACACATACACGGACATAATACTAATGTGATGATAATAGTTATAATAGGTAATATACGTGCATAGGAGTCCCCGTTCTTATTTCGAGTAAAACTACCGGTCCCGGTCCGCAGTTTAAGTTTTCAAAATCCGGAGGGGCCGCTTGAGTTATTGTTGCCGGAACGTGTCGAAGTTATACCCGCATTATTATATTACATTACTCAAAACGGTATTTTGAAGTAGGCAACGGGATAGCGAAACGATGTACGAAAATCGTGTTAAAACGAATGATGTGTGTATTTTGAATTCCGCGCCGAGCTCAGAATATTATACGTTTAACGGTTTTGCTATATTGGTAATGTGAAGTGCGCTCACTATTTAACCAGGTGACGTTGTCTTGAGGTAAATATCGATAACGTTTTTTTTTTTTTTCTAACCGTCGAACTTATTCATATTTTTGTAGATTTTGTGTTTTAATACAAATAGAAATACACAGTCATTTTTTACATGTATATATATATATACACAATCAAATTTACCGTGAAATATTTATTTTATCAAAAAGTTCCTTGTGTAAAAACCTTTCGGAATCATATTATATTCAACAATTTTACATTATCCTTATTTTTTAGGTGTAAAACGACTACTTTTTTTAATTTTCAAACAGAAACCTACATTTAAAATTCCATAAATCGACAGAGTATTAGTTTAAATGCATTTTATGCGGTGAAATTAACAGTTTTCGTCAACTCGTTGACGAGATATTCCACTTTTAAATTTGAGTTGAGGGAGCGTAGTAGAATATTCTATTCAAATGTGCGTCGCACCGCGCGATCGTTCAAATAGGTAATGGATTTATGGAATTTTCAATACAGATTGCCACTTCACACTTGAAAAGTAGGCATTTGTTTCACCCCCAAATATAAGGACAATGTAATATTTTAGAATATACGATTTTAAGAAGCGTCTTGAAATTTGAATGGCCTGTATAAAAATACGTTTAGGTATTACTGTGCTTAGCCAGAAATGTATTGATTTTACTATGAAGCGTGCTTACTTTCATTTATCTGTCTACCACTTCTCTATCAGAAATCTCCAATCGAGATATGCCAAGAGACCTTTAATGTTACATTTCTGAACCTAGTCGGTGCGTTATTGGAGGGGTGGTTAATTTTTGATTTTCCAAGCTGTTTTCATTATAATTGGGAAAACCTAATCCCAAGACGTATAAACATAGGTGATACATACATTTTCGCATTAGATTAATAGGTAACTCATAATAAGAGCTATGCTAAAAAGCGTAAACTATGTTTATTTCTTTTTTTTTTTCAAAAAAAAATGCACCACCCGGGTATACTGTAGTTATTAATGTAAAATTGTCAAATACGTTGCGCGTCGTTTGCAACTTTTTAAACCATATGATATTATCGCGAGAAGGGGGGGGGGGGTTGAAACACGTGCGCCAATACTATCGCGACGGTTTAAGGATTTTTACTGCAGAGTGTGCGATTGGAAATGTGGAAAAAAAAAATAAGGATCTAGAAACAACGAGAAACATTTTTGGAAAAAAAAAAAAAAAAAAAAAACCTCTCCTATTGTAACTGTTGGTACCTACACTACAACATTATTAGTTGTAAAAACGTCGTATTATTCATGCGTGTTCGTGCGTATTTGTTTTAACTCGGAGCACGTACGCGAGCAATAACTCGTCCCCGCGCCCGGGAACTGTACGCATACGTAGTGCGTACTAACGCGAACGATGGGAAATAAAACTCGCGAGTCACCGTCCGCCGCTGCGCTGGGCGCGAGAAACAAAGGAGACGTTATTTTTCGTTTAGAGACCGGCGAAACGGCGCGTTCCGTATGCGATTGTGCGTCCGCCGCCGCTGCACCGCCGCCGTTGAGCACCGTAATTATTGTTATTATTGTTATTGTGCACGCACGCAGCGATCGTATCGCGGCCGTCGTCGTCATCGATCATTCCGGTCGCGGACGATCGCGGTGCGGGATTTTCGTTGTTTGCGCGAAAACATATTTTGTTTTGCTCGTCTCGCTGTCCACCACGCGATAATATAATTATCGCGGATACCCAGACGGATACCATTCTGCGCACACTCTCGCTCGGTAATTTCAAAACGGACAGAAAGATGTCCGACGCCGGGCCGCCATCTGCGGGCTGCTACTCGTTTTTGAGCGAGCACGCGTCAACAGACCATTTGCTAACGAAAACCGATTCAGAGTCGAATTCGGTTGAACGTGTTTGGAAATTACGTGATTTTTATGATTTTCGTTAGTAATTTTTTAAAAAAAAAACCTACAAAAATACGATTAACTTTTTCTCACCATTAAGTACAGTAACGAACTTTGTATTCGATTTTATATTTTCTGTTCGGCCAAACAATTTGATCGCCACGATTTATTTCTAAATTATATATATTGCTAGTTTTATCAGAACTTTTGTGAACAAAATTCTACCCAAACAACATACAATTATTAATCTAAATTATTATATGTATTTTAAAAACTATCGATTCGTTTGAACTGGCGAAATAGTTTAAAATCTTAGACATTTCACCCAAACGAAAGCCCCCCCCCCCCAAGCCCGACAAAATCATAACGTGATGGCCGCACAATGATAATAATTATATTGGTTTTAGTGGCGTAGAAATACGTTCTAATTAAAAACGCCCGGGTCACCGTAAACATTTTAATACCGCGCCCACGTATATAAAATGGTTATAGTACAATTTTCTAACCAAAATATTTTAAATCGTTATTATATTATATGCATTGTTACCAGGTTGCATCGAAACAGTTCTATAAACTGTTGGTATAATAATTTATATTGGTTGCGT